TCCAAAGATTGCAACTATTAGCAAACACTAACACCACAACAGACCACTTTAATTTTTTCTACTTTCGCGATTCTTTTGCCCGTGATCAAAATTTCATACACGTGCTATTATTATTAAAATATCCATTTCATTGCTTTTTTTAGAGAATTTCTCACTCTCGCTCACCATTTTTGTTTCTTTATGAACCACAGTGCCGTGCGACACTGAGAACCACTGCTCTATATGAAATCATTATTTGTGATAAAAATAACATGGTATACAATTTTCTTTTAACAGGCATATTGCATACTTGATATATTTTCGGGTTTCTGCAGAGAATATTGGTTTCTATTATCTGCTTTAAAAATTTGAAATTCTGACTGCTGCAATTTCAAAGTTTCGACACTAGCACCGGGGAGGAGAGAAAACAATGGAAATCAGTCAATAATGCCAAAAAATATTACAATCCAGTGAAATATAAAAAACATATCCTCAATACTGTACCACCACTGTACAATCGAGATTACCATGCACGTGTAGGTGGAAATATTTACTTGTTTGTTTCTTTGATAAAAATCCCACTCTCGGTGCATCGAGCACTTTTGTTTCTTTATTATCCACTATACCGTGCAACACGCTTACTGTTCCCGGAGGATAAATGTTATATTATTTAATTTAAAGTAAAGTACGCGTAGCGAGGTGATTTTGCGCTCAGGTACGCCGATAGGTTACGTTAACCATGACATAACCTCGGAAGAATGCTAAATATTCAGGAATTTTACTTACGCATCACGGCAGGTTTAACCTATAGTCCGCGAGATGATAATCCATATAATTTGAAGTCTGTTAGGTTTTACATCGTGATCGCCTTATGTAGTTACTCGCTCTCGACTTCCGAATATTAAAAATCAGAGTAGATTAGTCTATTACAAAACTTGAAACAAAAAACTCATTTTGCCGGGAGGAAAAAAGTAACATATTAAACATTATCATGGATAAAAATCTTTGGGGTGGTACATTGGGCAACAACATTCACTTTTTAGGCTGCGAATGTAATGGGTTATGGCATGGTTAAAAGCCGGTAAAGCGTTTTTCGTAGCTTGAAAATTACTTTAGTTTAGTAGACCTCAAAACTCTGGAACCGCTGGTTGATTCGGTCTAACTTGACAATTGGAAATTTCAGACCCCGCCGATACCCTCTCCAGCCACGACAAAAATACCGAGCCCATCTCCGCATTGCTTGCGTAAGGTCGGCTCCGTTTAGTGATATCAATTCCCGCAAAGATACTATTACTTGCATTGTTCATTTACGAGCTCTGTCACAAGAAAATGACTATGTGCCGAACTTACATAAAAACAACTCTAATCTGTGATATCGGCAACACATTTACCTCTCCGCCCCCTATCTATTACTCATTGTCTGTAGCGGTTTCACGCAATTACTAAGTTTGCAAAAATGTGATTCTTAATGCCTCAGGAAAAGTGAATTTGTCAAAAAATATTTGCCGGTGTCAAAATACACGAAGAACCAGTAAATAACTACTAATCTACCACCATTGGCAAAAGCTGGAATATCATTACTCAATTGGTTCTCGGCATATTTCGTTGAATGACGGAAACGTGGAGAATTTGAAAAAAAAATAACATGAAAAATATTAATCTAATTGTTTCCAACTTTTCTCATATTCACCTCTTCGCATAATTCGGAACTCTTTATTCCTCACTATTCACAAAAAAACACTGTAAATAAAGAATAATAAAAAACTGAAAAATACTGGTAATACTACAGCAAGTATAAAGCAAAATCGCTCCCCAAGAGGATTAGAATTTCTCTCTGGTTGGGAAACATATGATTATTCATATCTATTCTGGGGAAAGACTGCCCATAAGATGGCCTAAAACTAAGTTAACAATTCAGGTATGGTATGGCTAACCAGTTTCATAACTTGGCCTTCAATCACCATATCGTGGTTATTTCTAAGATTTGTGCTTTTTTCTAGCCCGTGTCTTAGGATAGGATTTACATATTTATCCCGGGGGAGAAGAAAGCCGATAAGACGGCTTATCCATATGGCGAACCACGGCCTTTCGTCCGGTTACCATTCCAAGTCGGGTATGGGATTAGTTTTACTGTATTGTTTGTTTTCGGAAGCATGGACTTGGTGGTAGAGGAAGCCGTAACCGACCAGCGGTTACGTGAACCACCCAACGACGGCGAGGATTCCAGCAATCCTCTCGCAGATAACCATCCCTGCATGGGATTCGAACCTGCGAACCCACGCAGAGTAATTAGAGGTGCGGCGGCGAGCGTATTCAGCAATCCTATAAAGTAACTATGTGCTTATTTCTAAGAAAAGTGCTTATTTTTGAGTTGAGTGCTTATTTTGTCTTAGAAACATGGATGACTCGTTTATGTTTCGGGTACAAAGCTTCCGTGGAAACGAGGGATGATACTTATTATTATAGGAAATGCGTATTCACGGCACACTTCGCTGTGTTATTATTGTGACGTATCAATTATCCATCACCAAGGATTGCTGGAGCAAATTGTTGATGGCGATAAATATAAATGATTTGACCTATGTTTTGACTCAGTAAAGTAGTTAAGATTTGAAATTATGTGTTTATGTTATTAAATAATTAATATGTTCGCACATTTGGGGGTAGATGCGTTTCTGTCGTTGTTAAGTACCAAACAAATAACCTTTTGACACCCGTGATTATTCTTGGCTCTAGATAGATGGTAACCCTGCCTTAAATACTGAAAACATATTTACAGTATTCAAATAACATGGAACACTCGTTTCACTATTATTAATATTTATATATAAGCAGTGATGAGCTGGAAAAATCGTAACAACCGGAACGCATCTAATTCGCAAAAATGTAATATATTCACAACACGACGCGGACGTTCACAGAACTGCAATGAACTGTGAAGAAATTATATGAAATGTGTTTGTGTAAAATTACAAGAGTATTCATAGCAATTCAATACAAATCATATTAATGAAAAGGTATAGAATGAATATTCATGGGGTTAAAGGTAAGGGAAACATCTAATACACGTAACTGCTGTACTAATTATTTGCGTGATGTGACGTAAAAAGACCTAATATGATGTAACAAAACATAAATTAATAACTAAGTATACCAGAGAAACTAGACTTTTTGTACCATAATTTTATTTCAACAAAAGGAACGCAAATGCAGTAAAATGTCCAACAACCGGAACGACGTTCCGGCTACAGCTCATTACTGTATATGGGGCACCGAAGTCTTGAGCGCTTAGCCTTAGGTAGGCTTACCATACGTCCTGCTTTAGGCGGGACAGTCCCGCTTTTTTGCGTTTTGTCCCGCCGCCCCGATAAGTCAGCGAAAAGTCCCGCTTTTCCAGCATAATACACAAACATGTTCTCGTTACTGTTGTTTCTTTGTAGCGCAGCGCTAGCCTACTTACTGAAGGCGAATGCGTTCGTTTCCCGCTGATTCCCGTTGATGGCGGACGTATCGCATGTAAAACCAATACTAATTAGTCTAAATTCGAATTAGTTGTACCGGTATCGTTAACGTCAATTCCTTTCTATTTTTCGAACTGAACCCGATATTTGGACAGAGAATATGCGCATGAAATTTTGAGAACAATATGGTCGATAAAGACAGCCGAGACAGCTTTAAATGTAGGCCTCTGTAGTAAAATCGGAAAATGGGAAGTTATAAAATCACAGCTAAGGGGTCGTTGTCTTTCGAGGCGTCCCGATTTGAAGTCACAAAAATATGGTAACCCTAGCCTTAGGGGCCTCAAGAAGGGCACAACACGGCCCTGATCTTACCGCAGTTCCGACTGCAGAACTTTGCAGTGTTAAACAATCAATCTACTATTATGTATCTACTTTCTCCTTTGCTAAATTACAGTAATTATTACTCAACTAATGTAGTAATTATACCGGCGTAAAATGATCAGCGCTTTGTCAAGCGGAAGATTTTTTCCTCGCTTGACGAGTTAATTTATGATTATTGCAACTAAACTAAAGCTCGTCGGAAGTCATAACAACAATTACATTACTTCATTTAATTAAAACTAATGTTTAAAAACTGACTAAAACACGTAAAACCGCTAAGACGAGGCAATGTTTACAGCCACGCTTGAATATCTGTATGAGCGAACGAAATGTCTGGTCGAACGAAGTGTCTGAGCGTCTGCAATAATTGCAATTGTTATATCATTGTTGCCTTTTTGCTGATTGGTCATTGTGACTGCTCCAACACATTTTCTTTCCTTCTGCCCGATGCATCAATTTCAGTACTTCAATACAATTATTGGACACGCCAGTGGACATAACGATCGTTTTGCATTTTATGCTGGCACTCTTCTTGTTCTTGTTCTTTGACACGTTTTTAAAAAGTCGCTTTTCTCTTTGATTCCTGGACCAATTGCTCTGAAATTTTCAGTGGGTAAACATAATTTTTTTCTTTAGAAGGCTATTACTTTCATTTATTTCAAACGTCTCCATATATTTGAGCATACCTCTCTTGTTTTGTCTGTACTCTTATTCTTGGTAATCTTGCAATGTGTTTATTCACTCTCATGACTTCTCGCTCATTTAATATATATATATATATTGCTTTATTTTGTTATTCACAGCACGTGTTGGCTAAGCGTACGCCGCTCGTACATGAAACAGACTCGACCGAATCAAGTTTACTTCAAGGAAGTCTTCGAGATTCAAGTACGCTGTTTAGACTTCTCCGAGCGTCTCGTCTCCGTAGCGCAATGGATAGCGCGCTGGACTTCTAATCCGGAGGTTCCGGGTTCGAGTCCCGGCGGAGATGGCTTTATTGCCGTAGTTTTCAACTTGTTTTTGAGATAACACTACTTACGGCTTAAAATTTGCACAACTCCAAAAAATCAAACTTATTTTGACAAGACATGCGCCCATAAAGCGCGCAAAATCGCCATTTACCTGACGATTAGCAAATACCATGAACAAAATCTCTCGTTAATACTTCGCCGCGTCGTCGGCCCCATGGTGTAATGGTTAGCACTCTGGACTTTGAATCCAGCGATCCGAGTTCAAATCTCGGTGGGACCTCTGTTTTCTTCTACTCTTGAGTGATTTGTCTTAATCATGGAATTGGTGAAAGACTTATGTATTAAAATAATATTATTATTATGAATAAAATACATGGGTAAATAACTTTTTATATTATTAAAAAAAAATCCTTTATAGTTTATTTAGTAAAGCGAGCAAAAAATCCGAATGGAATTAAAATCTCATCCGCACACAACGTTCTATATATCATAGAATACAAATTGTAATTACGAATTAAATTAGCCTTGGGCCAAGCGATGAACGCGCGGATGTATAAAAATTTCAAGGTGTTATACTGCTTAAATTTTGGCGTTAATTTGGCCCTTTAACTGTGATATAAATACCGGTACATAGAGTTCGTTTGATTACTCCGTCTTTGCACAATTATCTCTCCTACATCAACAACGATGCAATAAATTTAAACACAGCAGCAAGAAAAACTTGAATATTTTTTAAATACGTAGCAGAAAATCCATCCGAGGTAATAAATAAAGTAATTTTAATTTACTCAGGAACTTTAATCGATAAGCAATAATGTGTTTTTGGACACGTTTAGTGGCCATAACGATCGTTTCAAAATTTTGTTGTTGTTGTTCTTAATCTTTGACACGTTTTTAAAAAGTCGCTTTTCTCTTCGAATACTGGACCAATTGCTTTGAAATTCTCAGTGGTTAAAGATTAATTTTTTCGCTAGAAGGCTATTACTTTTATTTATTTCAAAATTTTGCGTGAATTCTATGAAATTTGATATTTCGTCTAAAATTTTGCTGTATTATTTTTTATCCATGGGAACACGGATTTTAGTCAGTGTCATGACTGGCTGTACGTTTTGATTCTGCAAAATTCTTGCTACTGGAAATTCAGAACTTTTTTGAGGGTACCGGTAAAGACTGATTCGCTCTGGTCTAACGTGTCCATATATTTGTGCGTAGCTCTCTTGTTTATATTTATAAATGTATTGCGGGTCTGCGTAAACAATATGCAACCTTTTCACGTGCTCCATAATGGTTCCATTACATTTGAACCCACGACAATTGCTCCTACATACTATTGCCCCTATGGAAATTTGCACCTACGGATATTTGAACCCATACTAACCCTAACCCATGGAATTTAGCACCCGCATATAGATTGAACCCGCGGATATACGGGCGCAAATGTATGAGTTCAAATGTGCTGTCACCTCCATAATACCAAAAGTTTGAGAACCCCTGCTCTAAACGACAGAACTCATTAGTTTTTTATTATCATTCATTACTTTGTGTTGATCACGTTTGTCATTTCACCCCTTGTAGGTATCGACAGACTAGCAAGTTGGAAGTCCATCAGGAATATCTATGTGTGAGAGGTATCCTGGCCCCCGCAACGTGATTCATAACATATACAGGGAGTCTCACAAGTAAGTACAGTATACACTTTTAATTTTGATTTTCTTCTCGGGTACTCATCATAGAGCGTTCATTTCTTCAGGAAACATAGTATGAATGAGTAGTAAAATTTAGCTATTGTTTGCATTTTTCAACAACCCACATAATGACAAGGAGATTATCCCGAGAAATGAGGTGGAAAATTACTGTTTGGCAAGAAGCATATAAAACAGTAAAGCATTCGGCACTTTTACGACGAAGAATTAGGAAGTTCTTCGAAAATTCATGGAAACTGAATCTGTGGTTATTGCACAAAGATCAGGAAGACCAAAGAGCGGACGCTCTGAGAAAAACATTCGAAGATGAAATAATTTCAAATTTGTTGTTAACGAAGCGATGGGTTTGCCTTACTGATTTACATGCTTCTTGCCAAACACCAATTTTGCTCCTCATTTCTTGAGTCAATCTCTTGTCATTCTGTGGGCTGTTGAAAAATGCAAACAATATCTAAACTTTATCTCTCATTCATACTGTTTCCTGAAGAAATGGACGCTCTATGATGAGTACCTAAAAAGCTAATCAAAATTAAGTGTGTATACTTACTTTTGAGACACTCTGTATATACGCTTTGGTCCACGTAAACGCTGGTCAGTACAGCTTCTTCCACCATCACAATTCATAAGCATAAGTTTATTTCAAATCTATAATCAGCATAACAGACCAGCGTTTCACAATCTGTGTTCTGTGGAACACTGCTGTTTCGCGAGCTTATTCGGAGTGTTCTGCAGAATAGGGGTCGAAATTGCGACTGAATTGGTCGCCATGGCGATTTCGGCCGTACTTCGGCGACTCTAGAAGTCTGGATCGCAAATTTATGTGTCTCAACTGGCGACTAACAGGCTATCTAAACAGGCGGACAGCATGGCGTTATTGTCAATCTTTCAATATCGTCGGCCTAAAGCAATTTCTAATTTTACCTTAGGCAAACTGTTTGGAAACCACCAATCAATTTTACCTTTAAATTTAAAGCGTATGTGTTCCGAGGACAAAAAATATTTTGAGAAACGATGTGACAGAAGTTAAAATAATTGATAAAAACGAAATACCAATTACGAATAATTCAGTCCATACATCTGAAATGATTATCAACGGCAATCAACTATTCTCATAACCGACACGGGCTGGTCACCATGTGAGAGAGAGTGATTCGCCATTTGATTATGCGGAGGTTTTTCTATCATCTGTGAAAATGTATGGATGCTAACCGATAATATTTGACTCCGTCCACCCCCATTAAAATGTCTCACTATCATCATCTCGCGGATTCAAAACAAACAAATTCGAAATAATTGAAAAAAAGCGGACGTAACGACCACATCCTTTCAAGCATACATAACAGCGGTTGATAGTCAGCGTTTTATCCTAAGCGTCTGGCCTTGGAAACGTTTATCAGACATGATTTCTGAATTACTCGGCATTTAGCGTTAGCTAGGCAGCTAGTTAGCTCCTCAACCATCGATTAGGATAGAATCCACCAATGCGGTAGTCACCTGTGCTTCATTATGGAAGATTTTTCAATTTGGAGAAAAGTAATAGGATGGGCCATATTGTGGTATACTTCATATAGATTTGTGAAGAGATTTAACAGGTAAATCTGTAAATTTAACTTTTTTTGAACTTTTTCAAAGGTTCCATGGTTCCATGCCATGTTTAATGTGTGTGTACTGTCTGACTATGGAGTTTTCTTAAAATCGTTTATCACACTTCCTGACTTCTCATGATTTCTCCTTTCTGCTTTTCAATTTTAAACTTTTTTTGGGTCTGGTATAGTTTAGTACCACATCCACTTCTAGTTGGCCTGGCTCAACAATTTTTGCATATGTCAATCCTAACCCCCATCTGACTACGTCACCGAAAAATTACGTCACTTGTCACCTATTACTTGCTGCTTGTCACCTATTACAATAGTATTCAAATTACAGGATTATTGGACACACTCGGACACTATCGGCACATCATGCTTCGGTGCTTAGTGTTGCATCGTTAGGAATATGATTTTCATATCAGCTTTTCTCCTTCCAATTACTGAATTAATTTCAGAATCCTATCCGCCCTATTTTTCATTCAGTTTATTTTTAAAACTGATATAATATTCAACATATTTTACTTTATAAATTGTGAAGAGAAAAAATAATAAATCAACTACACATTTTTGAGATATTGACACATATTTGAACTAATTTTTTTGAATTGTGACAAAACCCTTCAATCTAAAATCTGTACATTTCAAACCTCACTTAAGGTTTTGTTTGCTCTCCTGATGCTGTAATCAGTTTTATTTATTTAGTTTTTATCAATTATTTTATTGTCTTTTATGCTAATTATGGAGTCCAAATAAACTTGTACTAAACTTAATAAGTTTCCCAAATTAATAATCAGTCTGTGAACCAGAGTCTCAAAACTTGATATTTTATTTTTTTCAGCACAAAATGCCCGGAGTACAGCTGTCGAATTATAACAGTTATTCATGCAATTTTAATCACTGTGATCAACTGCAAGCTTTTGTTTTTCTCAGGGACATGGCCGTTTGATATGTTAGGTAAATGCATTTTTATTCTATTTTAAGGGCACACTTTCTAATTTTATGGCCCTCTTTCTCTCCCAAAAGGGAATTGCGCATAAAGTATTAGTTTTGCTACCAAAGAATTCAGCGAGGGCAATTTAATCATAGGGAACCACAGACAACTTAATATGGAACTAAAGTCATTTTCACACACATTCAATTGTTCAAAATTAGTTAAATTTAGACATAAAGCTTTCATATATAATCTAGTAGTAACATTTTACCATTTAGCATTCAACTAAACATGGAAAAAGCTATATTATTTCACCTCTCTTTTAAGTTATGTCTTGTTTTATGTGAGCGTGACATTAATCAGGGCTGGGGTATCGGAGATTGGAGTTGTCACATTTTGGGGGTTAACAGATGGGGACGAAGCTGCCAAAAATTTTAGTTGCTCTAACCCTCTAATTATTTTTTCAGATTTATAATTTGGTAATATGCTATATAAATAACAAAATCTATCCTTTTCAGCTTGAAATATCTTCCCAATCCTGACGTTAATAGGCTGAACTGAACATTTCCGTAACCCCGTTAATTGTAGTCGAAATATTTTATTTTTTTTGTTGATACATATACAATCTTTTGTTTTGTTGTATCGGTACAATGTCTCATGTACAAAGTACAACGTATATAAATAGCTGAATGTGAATCTGAAAAAGTTATAATATAGTCTAATGCCGGCTCACAAATCGCTTGCTATTTCATCGAATGGTCCAATACAATCTAGTATTCTCAGTCGCGATTAAAAATATTTCTAGAATTATTTTTTTTTTCAGGCCTGCCGAATAATCCAATTGAAATTGATATTATTTCTGTCTCATTAGGATATTTCTTTTATGATTTTATATGGTGAGTAATATTTGAATTCTTCTGTCGGAAATGTTTTCGTAAGGTTATAATTTTTAGCCTAGCTTTCGAGATATTATTGGACACGTTTAGTGGCCATAACGATCGTTTCAAAATTTTGTTGTTATTGTTATTTTCTTTCGTCATTTTCTTCTCGAATACTGGACCAATTGCTTTAAAATTTTCAGTGGTAAAGATAAAATTTTTCTCCAGAAGGCTATTACTTTTTTTTCTCGCTATGACTTCATCAAAATTATTGCCATTGGGTGGCGCTACGTGTCTATATATTTGAGCATAGCTCTCTTGTTTTTTAATTACTTTAGTAGAGTGGTTCTCAAACCCCACAAAGGGGTCGTAGGTCACTAGGTCGTAGGGGGCTTGAAACTGATTGAAAATAAAAATATTTCTTAGATTTTTTCCTGCTCGCCTTATTTTGCATATTTACAATTCTCCATTATGAACACATATTTTCAAAGTGTTTCTTGAATAAAACATACTTTTGCCTTATTATCAGACATTTGAAGCTTAATGTTAGGTTATTATTTCAAGTGGTGCGAAACTTGACAAATTCTGAAAAAGGGGCTTATAAAGTTTGATGACCACTGTTTTAGTATAATTGCTAATATGTTCTCAGAGTTATATTTGTGGTTGCAACGGTTCACGTTTCTCTGGGTTACATTTGATATGTCCAGCTATGACTAATCTGCAGTAATTATTGAAATGATGTCGTAGCTGCCTATTTCTTGTTGTTGTGAATGAATAGACTTTCTGCCGCAAGGCTAATACATGTTTTTTTCAAATTTTGAAGGGGACTAGTAGTTCACTCCAAAATTTTTTGGTTTGTATAATTGTGAGCACACCTTCATTATATGACATTTAGTACAATCGTTCATGATATAATGTACAATTCTCTCAACAATAGGCTGGGATAAGTATAAATAAAGCACAACCGGTCGAAAGTACTTGGCAAATTACAACGTTTCGATATACACCGGTTGTGCTTTATTTATCATTGACATGAATATACCTGGTGTCAATCATGCGCTAATAATCTGGGAGTTTACTAACATCCGATGCGCTTATTATTCGTTCCAATTCTGTGTCCATACATTGAGCATTGCTTCATTAGTTCTATCAAATTAATCGATTGGAAGCACACTTTTCCATATGACATGGTAAAAATAAAACGAGAATATCGTTCGGAGACCGAAGACTTATCGGTCGAAACTGCGGTTTCGATTCATGACTCTATAGTGACACCACGTGCCCATCACTAATTAATTAATAACTCGCTAATTATACGACATAATTCATCCAAAATTAATAGGCTTCTGGTCCGAGATATGATAAATGCACATGTAATTTGAAGCAGATTCAACCTCGCCTTCTTGAGATATCGCGTTCATGTAACAGACAAACAAACAGACAAATACCTATCAACATACTTACTGGTCTTAAGATCGATAAATAACAATTGTGCCCGCAATTCTGCTGACATTCTAAATTGCCATAATTAATCATTAGACTGCTGTGTCCATATGTTTGAGCATTGTTGTCATGCTAACAAGCATGTTAATTTGCTTGACAGGCACATCTCCATATGATATTCAATAAAATATTTTAGGATAACTTTTTTAGGGAATTTTGCTGGCATTGTAGTGGCCATATTATTCACTCTTTCATGTGACATTGGTAAAAATTTTAACAATTGTGCTGCAATTCTGCTGACATTTCGGGAGGCTCAAGGCACAAATCTATATGTACAGTTATTCAAATTAATGACCCAGAGTTTACCAAATTTGTTATTTGCCCTTTGTTTCTTATACAGGAGGATATGGATTGCCTGTAAATTTCTTAATTACCGATACTTCTACACACTGAACAAAATTTAATCACCATTTAAACCTCTGTTTGGGTAGGTAGTGTCAATCCAGAAAGATTCTGGATCAGTGGCATATCTAGGGTGTGGCAGCCGTGACTTGTGCCATGGGCGCCGTTTGAAAAGGGTCGCAAGAATTGTGAAAAGTGGTCCTATCATTCATTTGCCTATAGTTTAATAGTATTGCTTCTTTGCATATTATCAGGATTATCGACTAACATAAACGTATACTCTTGACTGAGATTTTGCAGACATAGTACGACACCTCAAAACCAAACAGTGCTAAGTCCACTTTTCCAAAAAATGACAATTTTCAATTGCTGATTTTCCTGGACTTACCGTATTTATTCAATTATAACACGCACTCGTGTATAACGCGCACCTTTAAATTTTGAATGAAAATTGGTATAAAATTCTTTTTTTTATTTTTTCTCTACTAACTACTGGTAAGCACATAACATCTCAATGAGCGGGAATGTCAACATCTCAACGCAGCGGGAATGTCAAACGCATGCTGAGCTGTCGCATGTGCGTGTGCTTGCACGAAATCGAACGCTTGCACGAATGTCAAACGCACGCTGAGCTGTCGCATGTGCGTGTGACGAAATCATCCTGCATTGGAATGTGCATGCGCGAGCGCACGCACGTTTCAGATGTTTAAAACCACATTTTCAATACCGCATTTCTCAGACCTCGTGTATAACGCGCAGCATTGATTTTTGCCTAAAATTCAGTTCAAAATTTTGCGCGTTATAATCGAATAAATACGGTAGCTCTACTTTTTGTTCTATTTGCCCTATCTCTAGGTGCTCTAGATCTCAAGACAGCTATGGACATAACCCTGCTTTTTTTAGGGCATTTGAGAACTAAACAGAGCTGTGTCTACTATAGTGGACTTGGCTCTGGATAACTGCATTGGAGCCAAGTCCATACCAGCCTCTATAATAACATAATAAAGGGGCCCTAAGCCCAATAAAATTGTTTCTGGTCCAGAAAATTGAGAGCCAAAAAGGGTTAAGTCCAAAAAAAAACCCCAAAAAAAATTGGGGCGGAGCACAATTTTTTTTATACCATCTAAATATGGCCTTCATTGTCACTTTGGTGGACCATAAAAACTATACATCCTCGATGTAAGGTATTAGAGAAATAAAAAAAAGAAACAAAAAAAACGTTTTTTGCGTTTTTCTCAAAACTAGAAAAATGGACTTAGCCCAATTTGGATTTCATGCGTCGAGTAGGTTGTCTTACACGCTATCTTATCTTGGTGTCTATATATTTAATTATTGCTCTCTAATAACAAATCACCCCAAAAAAGGAACCCATAAATCTGTTAATCACTTCCAATGAAAAAAATTTAACACTTGAATTCCTGTTTTGAATGATTGTACCCAAAAGTACGTCCCTCAATCCTTCCCCCCTGCTGTTGCATATTCCTGGTATAGAGTTTTTCACGGGGCGGAAGATGCATTGGAAAAACATATAAAACGAGAATATCGGTTGGAAACCGAAGACTTATCGATCGAGAGTTAGGGGATCCCCCAAAACAGAAACTGCGGTTTCGATTCATCCGCTCTTGTAACTTGCGCACTGCGCATCGCACACACACTCGGCGGATCTCAAAATTCTCTCGCTTTACAAAAATCTAGATCACTTGATCACTAATTAATTAATAACTCGCTAATTATACGACATAATTCATTCAAAATCAATAGGCTTTTGGTCCAACATATGATGAATGCACATGCAAAATCTGGAGCAGATTCAATCTCGCTTTCGTGAGATATCACGTGCATCTAACAGACAGACAGACAGACAGACATACAGACAAATACCTATCAACATACTTACCGATTAAAATCGATAAGTAAAAACATATTTTGACAATACTATATTGTATATTCCAGGTGCCTCCATTATAACACAGAAGGACCAATCATGCTTATTCATCATATGATCAGCATAGTGACAATGTCCATCAGCTTATGGATGGGGGTGTCGGGAGTTGAAGTTTTAGCAACGATCTTTGGAAGTGAAATTTCAACAATATTTTTGGATGTAAGTATGGATAGTGTTACCCCTAATTGGGGTGGGGGACATTTTTAATTTTTTTTTTTTGAGAGGAAGGGAGGGATGTACAGAAATAAAAAATGCATCTTTTTACATTTTGAGATTGGTTCCCCTAAGAAAGGGGCATTTTAAGGGATTCAACATTCATTCAAATAAATTTAAAATTTGCTCTATATTTTCAAGATTTTAGAGATATTTCATAAATCATTCATCCTTTTTTTATTGACACAATAAAACACATCATGAAAAAAAAACATTGCAAATATCAACAAATTTATGTATATACTAATTGAGTGTACCGGCGTTCTTTGGGTGTCGCTGCTGGATAACCATATTTGGTTCCCCACGCCTTCCCTTCCCAGTAAAATTATACGATTACCTCTTTTTTGGATATTTTATGCGATTGTTTTTTACTGGTTGGATAACATAAACTTGACTTGAATTGTGTGGCAGGAGTCACAAGGGATCTTGGAAGATCGCCAAGCAGAAGGATCTACAATACTTGATTTATTTCAATTTTAAAATTTGTCGATTTGAATTGAAATCTGTCAATTAGACTCAAATATGCTTTATTAAATAAACTTTTGGCAACAGAGAAAAGAGATACAAATACAAGAATATTTATCTCTTTTTCTCTCTAAAATCAGAGGAATTCACAATGATTTTTGCAACTTTTTTTAACACATTGCACAAGTTTTTTAAAATGTATCCAAGATAGGAAGTATTTCGATTTTAAAGCACAGGGTAATGACCCCTTAGAATCCATAAATTTCTTAATTACTCATACGAAAGTGAAGAAAATTTTATCAAAATAACTGTTTGTGGATGATTGTACTCAAAGGTTCAATAATCTAAGACACTTTACACAGAAGCTATGTTCTCTATAGACCTGGGTCAGGGGTGGACACTTTCTATATTTGCGGGGGGGGGCGAACTTGGATCGTCAACCAAGAAGCACGGTTATTCATTTGTTCCCGCTGCAAGTTGCGCCTATCGCACCTTTCGAACACACTGATGTTTTTGTAAGTCGGAAACAACATGTGTTAAGATATAGACAAAATTATTTGGAGGGCGGGGTTGGCCGCACCCCCAGAAGTCCTTCCCTGACCTGGGTTTGATTTTTCGGGTCGCCATGTAATAGCGCACAAAAAGTCTTTTATGGTTTAAAATATCAGAATTAATGTTTTTTTGTAAAATCACCATACGTTTCGCTCGAATTTTGATGGAAATTTTTTTTTTATTTCAGCTACGATGGTTCATTAAATACTATAAGATGCATGATACAACTGTTGGAATAACAAATGATATTTTATTTGTTCTTTTATTCGTTGGATTTCGAATATTTCTTGGTAAGTTTAAGTTTTTTATTTCTAAATTTATTAGTGAAAAATTTCAGAAATATATATTTATATATGTACTCAGGTACACAGATCAACTTTGACGATCAGTTCAGCCTGTATTGCATTTATCATTGCTGTAGTTTAGGCAGAATTTTCAAATTTTTTTGTGTCAAAACACATTCAGTTGGGACAACTTTAGTGAAATTTTGAATGTTTTTTTCAATCAGTATGGAGACTTTAAATTTTTCTTCATATTTTTCCAGGAGGATACCTCGCATACTGTGAACTTCTTTCACCGGCACCCATCATTATGAAGCTCGGTGGTTCATGCATGTACTTAGTCAACTGTATATTTCTGTTCCAAGTTCTATCATTTGCAAGGTAAGTCAATTTCTTGTTTCTCCCCCAGCAATCAATGTTCAGTCTTCTTTCATTAAGTGTCACAAGGCTTATAAACAGGGATTCCATTGATCTGGAACTCAAAATAAGGACAACTTGAAAATTTTCTGCATTGTAAGCAAAAATAGCTGGCTTTCCTATGGCTTCCAGGTTAATGTCACAATTACAGACGTCACAGTGTGCGGGGCACTCACACTTCAAGCTTCGTTTAACTCTGAATTCTTTCCCGTACTCAAGAAAAACGTTCTTACATTTGCTCATTTTTAAATTTAGGCTAAAATAACCACCACCACGACAAAACTTAAGGATCGCCACACTAACAATGCTTCATGCCTATCTGTGCCTTGCTTCTTTGTGTTCCAAATAAGATTGTGTTGCTTTTATGATGCCACAATAAAGCTTTGGTGATAAAACAAACAACACAAGGCTTCCTTTATGAAGTCCAAATAGAACAAAATAAGGACACGCAAGCCAAAAATAAGGACAAATCTTAGACCAAGGACGGTATGGAATCCCTGCCTATAAATGAACTTTATAATTTTCTTATATTCGATTGCGCTCTGCGCTTTTTTTTAAATTTCTGCATATGAATTTTTCATTTTATTCACTCTCTGAGAAAACATGTTTCTATGCAAATTTGCTTGAAGCATTTTCAACAAAAAATTAAAACAAAACTGATAGAAGAGTTTTAAGTGGCCATGGCCACTGATCTGACGAAATATTAGTTTGGGTAGTTGTACGTTTCCTGGTCATTTCATTTAAACAACTCTGATAGCTTTTTAGTCTTCAATAAATGCAGACTTGGAGCCAAACCCATGATTGCAGTCTTCCCAACACTGATACGTGCTAGGCTTGTTAGACCAATGTTTAACTCTCAAGCAAAAATCTAACCCTTCATAACATTGCTCTGATTTTTTTAAAGAAAGACTTTTTATTAGATCCAATCATCCCCATTATTTAAGCCAGCTGTTCTCAAAGAGCGCGCCATGAAAATTAACTGAAAACAAAATTTAGTTTTATTTAAAGCAGCATTTTCTTTGTATAGGTGCACCATGAGGTTTTTTCCTGATAATTTGGCACCGTATGCACAAAAAGTTTGTGAACCGCTGATTTAAGTCATTTTTACTTCTGTAGATACAAAGTTAAGAAGTTGGTGTTCAAACAACCATCAAAACCAACCTTCACAACTTCAGAAAAAAAATCGAAACCAGAGATGAACGGCCATACAAATGGAAACGCAGCTGGTGACATGGCAAATGGAGTCATATATTGAAGTACAACAGAAGCAAAATAAACGGTATTCCCGTAGTGTGTGTACCAGGTTAGGGTTAGGTCATAATTTCATTCCGATTTTCCTTATTTTAGTTCCATTACGAGTTCGGGGACTGTCTGTGTTAGCCAAGTGAAGTTACTCCCTGCTCATAGTCCCTTCACACAACTTGATGTAAAGTAAGCGAACAAAATTAGTTACCTCCATATTGGTACACACACTTCTGGAGCACCTAATAAACCAACTGTCTTTAGTGTATGAGGAATATAGAATCTCAGGGATTGATTTGAAATTGAAGTTTATAGGAATATTCACCTCTGCTTCAAACAAATAGAAGTAAAATAAAGTATTTTATGCTATTTAAAGCGCTGCTGCACGCTAACATACCGTAAGTGTAATTCTGTAATGTTTCGCCTGACCAAAGTCAGACTTCCCCAGATAAGCAGTTTACAGAAAAACATTTGTGTTAGAGTAAAAAAAATGATTTTAAACTTCTTGTCTGAGTAATTCTAATTTTGGTCGGACAAAACGTTACGCAAATACAATTTGTTTTAGTGTACAGCAGTATAGTCATGTTTATTCCTGCTACAACATCTTTGCATTATACGAATCCACTTGCACGAAGACATTGAGGCAGGAGTGGGAGTTAGTCTCACGCAACCCAACTCATAATTAAGTATTTTCGTGTGGTTAAAAAGAATCGGGATGCTGAAGTAGTTTTAAAGTTTTACTTTTATTGTATTATTTTTCAAATTTTCTTTTGCAAAAAAGCTCTGTAGAATCCACAACATATATATATCATAAGTAAGTGATTCAAGATTCTTGCTGCTTATTATAACATATATATTTCACAGAAATAAGCTGTCGCATACCAATACTAAATACGATGTCAAGACTCGGTGTTTGGTACTCCTGAAGTATGCGCACCAAGATGTCGCACAACCTGAACCCTAACCTGGTACACAACCTGAGTTCAGGTTGTGCGCCATCTTGGTTCGCATACTTCTGGAGGTCTCAATGTTCTAGCATCCCCTGTTTTGGATAATTATGTATCTGTATATATCAGGGTGGTCCAAACCCAGGCCCGCGGGCCACGTGTGGCCCGCTGCTTCATTATCTGTGGCCCGCGTCGCATTCGACGAGGAATCAAAAAATCGCATTATGTGTTGTTTCCTGGCGTTAATTACCCAAAAAATCTTTTGACATATTGTTGCATCACTAATGTCACAGAATATCTAGTGTTATGGCTTGCTGAGGCAACTAGCATAGTTAAACGAGTGAAGTTCTTAGCACTATTGTAGCCTACGAACAATGCAAAAGTTATTTTGTGGCCTGCGGAGCTGTCAATCTTGGACCACCCTGGTATATATAATTCACTTAAAATTGAAATGCAAAAGATTGGTCTATGCATGGTGACAAAATTCCAGGATTGCCGAAAATCTGATTTTTTTCATATTTCTAATATTTCAGTTCTAATTTTATACTCGTAGGTAAATGTAAAAAATCATGCAGCGTTGTTCACGTTTAGTGCGTGCAACAACCGGCAATCCAATTATATTTTAATCCTTGACTGATCATTTTTTACATATATCAGCAAAAATGCTTCAAATATTTAACAACATGAGATTTATTGGTTAGTCGGTTAGCATTGAGCATTTAGGTCGTTCTGCGTGAACCTTGGGATTGTACTTTTATACATAAATACCTATGGAGATAAAATTTAGACAAGTAGTCCTCGGACTTTTTAAGCCACGCCCTCTTTTTGGAATTTGTCAATTCTCGCGCCCCTCAAAAATTACTTGCTAACAATAAGCTACACATAACAGATTGTAAGGCGAAATTATGCTTTATTCAATAAACACGTTGTAAATGCGTGGATGAAACGTAAATATCCAAAATAGAGAAATGTAAATACCCAAAATAAGGCGGGTAAGATCACATCTAACAGTTATTTTTATTCTTTAATAACTTCACAACCCCCTCAAAAATTTGCAGTCCCCACTGTTTGAGAACGACTGATTTAGATAAAAAGCATTTTTGAAAAATTATCGAAAATATTTCTTAATTCTTGTTTTGTAGATGGAATTTTATTTTCAATTTTAATCACACTGTTTCAATATTTTATCTTGATTTTTATTATTTTGTATTTTTTTGTCAACATTTTTTATAGCAGTGAAGCTTTAGCATTAGCTCGTTCACTTCTCTTTGTCTGACTCTGTCTAGAGCAGTTGTTCTCAACCCCTTCTTCTTCGTGGCCCACTTTTGTTACACGGATTACTCTTCGTCACATTAACTTTCTCATGCAAGGAAAAACTGCAAAAAAAACAATAAATTATTTCCACACAAATAGACATTTTCACTTCAATAAATAAAATGAAAATTACCACCCAAAGCCAAAAGCAGCATCATCATTCATTGCTACTACAATCAAAGTTTTACTCATTTATCAATAACTCTTAAGTTTGCGCCCCGCCTTAAGAATGTTTCCGTGGCCCAGAAGTGGGCCATGGCCCACTTGTTGAGAACCGATGGTCTGGAGATGAGTGTTATTTGTCCCCTAACTATTAAAAAAATAGCTTTTTGTTGCTCGCGGGCCAAAATTAAAGGTTGCAAGTCATTGGTGGGCCGCACATATTTTTAGAAAGTTAAAATGACCGATGATTCACATTTTATCACACAGATCAGAAGTTAAATTATAAGCAGCGCGCAAAGACTTACCATTCGATTATTTTTTGCGCCATTAAACCAATTGCACTTAGCATCAAATTTTCTGCGTTTTCTGCAGCTATAATTTGTTACTATAATTCAGTGAAGCGCCGCAGGCCGGATTATATTGCTCCGCGGGCCGTAGGTTGCCGACCCCTGACTTAAAGACTAAATAAATCTTCAGTACTTTAAATCTTTTGACCGGGGAAAACTTTGAATTTTTTTTACACTTTTTCAAATTTTTCAAACAAACAGCTAAAAAATTGTGAAAAATTCTAGATCACCGGTTCTCAACAAATAGGCCATGGCCCGCCACTGGGCCATGGAGACATCTTTAAGTGGGCCACGAGACTACAAAAAAATTACTACGGTTATTGAAAAGTTGTTTTATTTGTGTCATTACAGTCAAATTTGATGGTAGTAGCAATGAATGATGCTGCTACTTATCATTCATATTAATGAAGTATAAAGTATTTATTTTTGCAAAAATAGTCTTTTTTTTCTTGTAGTTTTTCCCTTGCATGAGAAAGTTAGTGTGCCACAGAATTTTTTATCCAAAGAAAGTTGGCCACGAAAAAAAAAAGGTTGACAACCACTGTTCTTAACCCATTATGAATTTATAAAACCCGTCAAAGAATCAGGGTAAACCTTAAAGTACATAAGGAACCCAACAAACTTTATAACTTTTTTATTGTTTTGAATGCATGTCCAGCATAATCAAAGTATTGATGGTGTTTGTGTGGGAATTTGTGTGATTCGATGACTGTTGATCAGAACAGGAAGTTTGTGAATGTGGGAGACGTTTGAATTATAAAACTCATCAGAGTAAACCTCAAGTACCGGTATATACACAGACCTCACAACCTCTGTTCTAGATCCACTATGAATTTATAAAACCCAACAAAGAATCAGGGTAAACCTTAAGTACATGCACAAACCTTGTAGTTTAATATTATTTTGAATGCATGTTCAGAAACGCATAATCACGATATTGATGGCACTTGTGTGGGAAAGTGTGTGATCTATTGACTGTTGATCAAAACAGGAAGCTTTTGGATGTGGGAGGCGTTTGAACGCATAACACCAACAAAACTTTATTATCACTTGTGCTTTTTGTCATATGAATCAGCCCTGCAGTAACCACACGAGAAAACAATTTTAGATCCATTATAGATTATAATAAAACTCATCAAGTAAGCCATAAGTAATGGTATATACACAGATCTTACAGATTTATATTATTTCGAATGAGGGGGTGGGCAATTTTCGGCCCGTGGGCTGGATCCAACCCACCACACTGTTATATCTGGCCCACTTGTGCCTGCTGGAATAACGATTATAGTTTTTATGGATTTAAATTTTTGTTGAAAATAACAAATCGTTGGCAAAATAAATAACGTGCTGCAGCGCATAAACTTAGAAAACCTTATAGGTTAATTTAAATATATTTTCGGGGAGGCATTTGAATCTATAACTGTGTGAAAAATACTCTCTTTGCTCACTACCCGTTGCATGGTCAAAAACGCATAATCGGGGTATTGAAGGTATTAGTGTGCAAATGATCATCGCAGAAAGCCTGTGTTATTCTAGTATGATTGTCGAAATTGTCGTGAGGTGTTTTTACTTGTGTGAGGTGAATGGCCACAAGCGCTGGTTACAGCGTACGTTATGAACATTTATATAGGTTTTGCCCATTTTCCTGATTTTTCAGTTGCCCTTGTCTGAGTTTTTTATTTTATTTGTGCTGTAGACGAAAGGTTGAAATAAAATTGTATTGCATTGATAAGGGAGGCGTTTGAACCCATAACTCTACAAAACTTTCATCAATTACGCATGTTGTCATATGAATCAGCCTGGTAGTGACTGGAACTAAGATCTGGAGCCCAACTCGACCAAAATTTGGGTCGGGTCAGGCTTCTCCATCGCTGCCTTTTTTTTTAAAATAAATATATGTTTATAAAAAATATATACTAAAACTATGTGTGGAATTCGAAGAACTCCTAAATAAAAAATGAAATTTCGGGTTTAGTTTGAGCTCCGGCCTGCAAATCCAGTTAATTAGTCGAGCCCAGTCGGGTTTAATACCAATGGGCACGGCTCAGGCTGAAATTTTTAAGCCCGATCTTACCTCTAGGAAACTTTTTCATGTACTATATGTTTTACTGTCCAGCAGCGGTGACTTTCTACCAGAAAATGAATGTTTCAATTTTTCTTGTACTATATGTTTCGTAAAGCTTTTTTGTAATCGAATTTCATGCTATGCAGCACATTAGTCAATTAGGAATTCATAATTTTAACTTTTTAATCAACTTTTTATGGTCTGTATTTCTTTGATTATATTTATATTGCTTCATTCAAATTTTGGTATTTGATCAGAGAACTGTTCCATTAAATTAACATGTATCAGTTTGGTAGTTTTATTTATTTCTGCGACATGATCCAACCCAGGGAGGCGGCCAAATCTTTTTTGCAAAGGGTCACGTTAAGAAGAGTACTTAATTAATAGCATGGTTGGCATTGAATCGAAGTTGAAAAAAAAAAGACATCTATATTATTTCATAGTCCGGATATTTTAAAGAAATTGTGAAAATAAATCTGAATTTTGTATGTAGTCGTAATAAATTTTTCACAACTTTCTGCAAGAGCAGAGGCCGGCACAAAATGCCTTGGGGGGCTGCAGTTTGCCCATTGTCGATCTAAATTGTGACTAAAAAAAATGATAGATGAGTGATAAATATGAAAATCCTCCCTCTCCAGTTCACACCTGACTCCAAACTCTGGGCTATTCAAAACAAATTCCAACTTTGTGTTAATAAAAATTCTGACGCCCAAGAAAACAAAATTTTGACCGAAAAACTTTGAGACAAGCAACTTGGACTACTTTAAGCAGACTTGACAATTTTTCCCTCCTTACAATAAATATTAAAATTATGTCTCTCCCCTTTTGGTACTGAATCGAAAACCCCATCTGCTACACTCACTCCAACCCTGGAAGCTAATAACGCCCTTAAAAAATAACGCAAGCCAGCAAATTCAATTGTTGCATGTTTCAGTAAGATAATCAGAAACTAATATTATAAGGAACAGATGTTAGCTAATTATGGAGTCGAAAGAGTTATCTCTGCAGCTTATTACCGGTACTTTTGGCAGTAACGTGATCTCATGAAAGTGGCAGGGTAACCTTAAAAAAGAGTTGCTTTTCAGCTTATTGATAAATTTAGGAGGGCCAAACTGCTACTCAAAAGTTAAGTTTTGTGTACTAATATAAACACTAGCAAACTTATCTCCTGAAAAATTTAGAAGGCTCATAGAGCAAGTGACTATCTGATAATTTTTTGAGAGCATTTCATGATTGGCCTGTCTGCATAATATCGGCTTTCGTGAAAACTCTTGATCACAAAAGTAAAAACATAGTTTCAAGCAAAAGGTTATATACACCAAAATTATGATTAACTTTGTAAAATGAATACAGATGATTGTAATGAGGCGATGATAGTGCAAATATGATGAAGAAAAATGCTGGTACTTCCGAAGTATGTAAACCGAGATGCCGGACACCAGAACGTAGTGTGTGTACCAGGTTAAGGTTAGGCCATAATTTTATTCCAATTTATTTTAGTTCAATTACGAGTTCGGGGACTAGCCAAGTAAGTAGTATTTGTATCTGAAATTATGGTCCAACCTGGTACACATACTACGATCCTGTGTCCGCCATCATGGTTCACATACTTTGGGAGTACCCAAATGCTGTTGGTACTGGACTTGATGCAAATGAAATGCCAGTCATGCTGCAACATTAATGATTTTAATTACAAAGAAGAATTTTGAAAATAAGACTAATCAGATAGTCGGAGAACAAATCTCAAGAGAGGTAGGAATACACCTAAGATTCAGAAAATTCGATTCAAATAGAAACTTTTGTAATAGAATCTATTTTGTGAAATGAGACATGTTAATGCAAATTCAACTTCATAAAAAATAGTTCAAACTGGATGGAAAAAAATTGATGACGGTAGCTCCAAAATGATTCTGAAAAAATAGTCATTCATTGTGAAGAAATTCATAGCATTTATTATCTTTCCTTCATGGTTTAGCTCACAAAAATCTGTAAAAACTAGTGGTTTTTGATGGTTTTTCATTGTTTTTGCAATAAAATATCCAGTAAGTATGTTCATAATTCAGGACAAGGAAGTTAAACTGGCAGAATTATGAAAACTCTTTATAATATTGATACATTAATGTTCACCAATTACTGAAGCATATTCGAGAAATATAAAACACTGTTGCATTTCTATCTCCATCTTGATACATCAGTGCAGGTTTTCCCAAACTGGGGTGCGCGGGCCACTGGGGGTCCGTGAGAACTACACAGGGGGGCCGCAGCGATATTAAGAGTCTTAAATTTATACATTTAGTGTATATCCACTGTGCATAGACATTCGTGAACAAGATAAAGTCGCAAATTGTAATTGTTAAGAGCCCTTAACAAGTTGTTGTAAATGTAGGCGAACCCTGTTTTCAGCTTCTGCGAAGTAGACCTCTGTAAAAAATAAGATCCACAAACAGGGGAACGCGGTATAAAAAATTTGCATTTTCAAATTTCAATAATTTTGGACCTATCTCAAGTCGATTAGTCTGCAGTATCATAGTTCGGTCAATAACAATACAAATTACCAAAGCATATTCAAAAAATATAAAACACATATTAGTTTGCAATCATAAATTTCATCAATTTTTCAAGTCATTATAGTCTCATTGTCAATAAGCAATTGATATTAATAAAACAGAAAATATAGAAACTATGTTTTAATTTCGACAAAACTATATAAAATTTTAAAAATGTTAATAATACCAAAGGACTTTCAAAAAATAAAAACTTTATTTCATTTTGATACATTAGTGTCTTAAAACTTCTAATTAATTTGTCAAAGCATCTACCGGTAAGTCGATAAGTAAGCTCAATCTGCACAGCCATATAATTTGCATTTTCAAATCTTTCCAAATTTTTTCAAAACATTCAAAGTCGAAAAAGCCACCGTCTAATAGCAAATTATGCATTTGAAAGAAATGTCGAACACCAATGATTGGTTTCAAAAATGCAAAGAAGTGATCAAAATAAGACCATGGGAAACGATACGAAATTTTAAAATCAGTAATATCATGGAAGCACTCTTAAGTAATATAGAAAACGCCATTAGTGTCTCTAGTCTGCAAGTGGACTAATAAAGTGTCAAACAGAATGGCAATAGGTTTAAAAATCAAACTACGAACACAAAATCTGTGATTTTATGAAATTTAAAAACAATATTTAAGTATTGCTAAATTAGTGTCTCAGGTCTGCAAAAATGACAATTCATGTATGGCTTTTAAATCTTCCCATAGACACAAAAACGAAATTTAATAACTCAATATTACTGAAGCACTTTTGAAAAATATAAAAGTGATGACCAAGTATTGACAAATCAGTTTCTCAAGTCTGTAAGTGGACTAAAGTATCAAACAGAAACATTTCATAGAAGGCTTTAAAAATCACCCCACAGACACAAAAACAGTAAATTTATGAATTTACGACTACTTAGCAAAAATCATATCCAGATCAAAAACTTGCTGTTAGCATCATCAAAGCATTTTCGAGACAAATAGGAACACTGTTTCGTTCTGATACATTAGTATCTCAAGTTACAAAATTGATAATATTACCAAAGCAATTTCAAGAATGTAAAGATAATGTTTTGATACATGAGTGTCGCAAGTTTGCACTCATAAATTTATGAAATTTAAAAACCCTAATATTACCAAAAGCCAAGGCTTTTTTGGAGAAATATAAAAATGATGTTTAGTATTGATACATGTGTAAATTTTTCCTTAATTTATACAATATCTGCTGTCTACTGCTCTCATTGTGCAACATTCATGTCGCAATCTTCATGCCATATTAGTTTGCACTTTCAAGATTCGCCAATTTTTTCAAAATATCTCAAGTCTGTACGGCCGCAGACTCGTAGTCAGGTGGTGGAGAAGAGCAATCCCCTTCATTGGCAGTTGATTGTGTCGTCGGTTCCACAGTAGCTTGGACTAAAAGCGGTTGCTCAACAATTGGTTGGGCCACCATTTCAATGTTTGTTGGGGGCTCGTCATTGGTAGGTTCTATCCCTTCGCTTCTTTTATTCGTGATCGATGCATACACTGGCTGGAAAGTTGGCCGAAGTCCCATGCCGCATCTCTGCGAAAAAGTGATTTTATTAATTAGTTATAGTACTTGGTTAGTAAATGAGTATTTAATTCACAGAAGTGTTGTCAACTAGGGGGATATGGGTCAGTGATTTCTCTGCACGACTTTTATAGGCGAGTGAATACTCTCTCTAAAATATGATACAGCCAGTAAATAAGTAGTTTATTTTTTACTCGAAACACACTAGATTTATAAATTACGGCGCTCCAGAAGTATGTGTACCAATATGGAGGTAACTAATTTTGTTTGGTAAATATACATCAAGTTGTGTGAAGGGACGGAAGCCTGTGGGCAGGGGATATATTCACTTGGCTAACACAGACAGTCCCCGACTCGTAATAGAACTAAAACAAGGAAAATTGGAATAAAATTACGGCCGAACCCTAATATGGTACACATACTACGGGAGCACCCTAACTTGAATATAATTGTATTTAAATATCCACGAAGTCGCATATATACTACTAATATAGTCGTATATATACAGTGCAGATAGTCAAATACATAACACATTTTTATAAATTACAAATAGTTTTATCGTTAATTCCAAACATCTATCACCCCCTAAATTTGGAATCACCCTCTCTAAGATGAAAAGCTCTGAAGCATACTAGTATGTGCATACCTAAGGAGTGCGAGAAATGTTGGGTACAAGTCCCATAAACCCAGAGTTGAGAGTCACAGGTCATCTGAAAGTCAAGTCTCGAAATCGAACAAATAACTTAGTCAAGTCTCCCTCATGGTACGTTGATGACAAGTTAGGCAGGGCCAGTAGTGGGATTCAGCCGGTTCACATGGGTTCTATAGAACCGTCTCACGTAATTTTATGAGATCACCGAACCGGTTAGCATCACTAGTTATTGTCAATGTTCTGTTTGTAACAGAACCGGTTGAAAAATATGACTTTTGTGATGGAACCGACTGACAAAAAATTCGAATCCCACCACTGGTCAGGGACATTCCATTAAAATGACTCGAGTCTTTGGTGATTTGTGATACCAGTTCAGATTTAGTCAATGACTGTAGCCTCTCCAGCACAAGGTGTGAGTGAGGAACTTATTTCTACACTAATAGCATAAAATAATTTTTTAGAACATGTAACTTGACTCGGCGCTTCGGGCGCACCTCTGATTACCCTGAGTGGGTTCCCACGTTTGATTCCTGTCAGGGATAATTATGTGCAAGAGGATTGCTGGACTTTTCGCCATCGTAGGTTTGTTCACAAACCGCTGGTTGGTTACGACTTTCTTCACCATTAAGCCCTGAAACAAATAACTGTCTAACTATTCTCATACCCAACATGGACTGGTAACCGGACGTGATTCGTCATATCTTCAAGCCATCTTATCGGCTTTCCTTTCCCCCGGAATAAAAACATGTAGATCCTTGTTATATATGAATGTTTATGCTTCATAGTGGAAGCTCAATTCCTTATTTCTTGTTTAGTATTAGGTTCGAAATTGGAAAAAAATAAAGATCTCAAAAATTGAATTAACATAATGTTTCAATCAATCAATTTTATTTTGGTCCCTCTGACATAAAACAAAACAACAACAAACGGACAAACAAAATGCAGAAGGCCTGGGGGAAGGGTATAACTTAAGGACAAAGTTAAAAGACATACAAGTACTCGTCCGTTCATCAAAAACAGAACAAAACAAACACAATAAAAAGTCCAAATGCCAAATATTTTCCCCACCTGCTTACAAGTTCCTACATTGGTGCATACTGTGTGTAAATATTCCTATTAGAATCCATATTGTTGAGCTCAACGCTATGAAACTGCCCAAAGCTTGTGTCCATCTTGGATAGAGGTAGTCTCCATAGTGTAGTTGAACTGATTGAGATGAGTATGTGAAGTTGGAGAGCATCTGGAAAATAGAGATAATTTTTCTCTTAGCACTACTTGAATTTACAGATAAACAGTTTGTTGCCCAAGTTCATTGCAAGCAATTCCAGAAAGTGATATTCACTGGGATACAAATGGCTAAATAATTTTAAGTCCAACTATAAGGCAAATAAAATTTGACCTGAGTTACAGAAAGATAAAAAACTATTTCTCTTCAGGATACATAACTTAATTGTCATTTTTGCTTCTTAGGAAACAAATCACAATTTGTTGCTGGTAATGTGATTGTATGGGAGCAACATACTCTGATGACCCCGAAAGGTCATATCGTTGCCTCCCTGTCATACACCAAAGCATCTGTCTATTTATTGTTTATATGCGTTTGCATATATTGTGTGTTTTGTGGTTTTACGAATGGAATAAACTATCTCTTCCTCTCTCCTAACTATTGTCAGAATTTTAAATTCGATTCATGTTAGTGAGACCAACAAAACTCAATATCAGCTATGGCATAATGAAATTTTGAAAACGAAAAGTTTGGTGTCTGATGGTTATTTTTTAGTAAAAGTGATGTCTGACATGACATTGACTGGTAAAAATAGCACGGTTCATCAGGATTGAGTCGATTTATCAACTTTCCTCATTTGGGATATAAATGAAAATCTTATCTCAATGGGATTTCAATTCTGATTTTAAGGCTACAAACAGAAATCCCTAATCTTGAATAGTACAAAAAAATTTGGATTTTCGAGTTGCGAAAGTGAGATATAATCATCATAACAACAGGAATTATCAAGTCTGATAATTATTTCAGTAATAATATTCGTGACACATCTGTGCAACTTGAACAAACGAGAATATCGGTCGGAGACCGAAGACTTATCGATCGAAACTGCGGTTTCAATTCATGACTCTATAGTGACACCACGTGTCCCATCACTAATTAATTAAGAATTCGCTAATTATACGACATATTTTATCCAAAATCAATAAGCTTCTGGTCCGAGATATGATGAATGCACATGCAAAAATTGGAGTAGATTCAACCTTGCTTTCGTGAGATATCGCGTGCATCTAACAGACAGACAGACAGACAAACAGATACCTATCAACATACTTACCGATCTAAAGATCGATAAGTAATAACTGATTAACTGTTTCTATTCCACACTAGACATGGACTAGAAACATGATAGGCTTGACAGGCCGTGGTACAGGTGTACGACATATGATCAAGAGGTATTACTGGTTTTCAAACTCAAATCAAAGTTTGAAGATGTGCTAGCGCTAGTTCTTCCACCTAATAGGAATGAACAAACAAAAATCGGACCTCCTGAAGTATGCGTACCAAGATGTCGCACAACCTGAACCCTAACCTGGTACACAACCTGAATTCACGCGCATACTTCAGGAGTACCAAAAATCACTGCAGATAATATACCTACGAGTAAAGTATAAAGCATGTTTAAGCACTAACTGTTTAAAATATACATTTGTATAACTGGTCCTTGCATTGGTTAGATAACAAGGGTCTAGTATAGTTTAGTACAACAAGTACTTCCAGTGGGCGTAGCATAACGAATTTTGCATATGTTATTCCTAACCCCCACCTGACTATGCCATCCAAAAATTACGCCAATACGACGTCACCATCACGTCATAGGGATTGCCAAAGTATAATTACGATCGCCCGAAATGGCATCTGCGCCGCCGATAACAAACTTGCTAAAACCAGCATTCTCTCTCTTTTATCGTAATCGTAATCGTTGTGACGAGAAAACGAGAGAAATTGATTGCTCGATTTCGGGTGATCGTCTGCGCGTTTTGGACTACCATCCCATACTTCGGTGGGCCTTATTACGCCACTGTGATGTCGAAATGACGTCATCTTTTGGCAACGTAGTCAGATGGGAATTAGGATTGACATATGCAAAAATTGTTAGGCCAAGCCAACTAGAAGTGGATGAGGTACTAAACTATACCAGACCCGATAACAATATTGTTTAAATCAAGGATAGGATTTACATATTTACCCCCGGGGGAGAGGAAAGCCGATAAGACGCCTTATCCATATGGCGAACCACGGCCTCTCGTCCGGTTACCATTTCAAGTCGGGTATGGGATTAGTTATATTGTCTGTTTTCGGAAACATGGACTTGATGGTAGAGGAAGCCGTAACCGACCAGCGGTTAAGTGAACCACCCAACAACGGCGAGAAGTCTAGCAATTCTCTCGCACATAACCATCTCTGCATGGGATTCGAACCTGCGAACCCATGCAGAGTAATTAGAGGTGCGCTGGCGAGCGTATTCTTAACACTTAGCCCGTTGAGCCACACCGCCGCGCCAAGTTTTCAAATGGTACGATAATTTGTTTATGTAGGCAACTCAAATGAAAATCGGGACCATATGTAGATCCTATCCTCAACCTGTTATCTATATCAGGGTGGTCCAAGGTTGTGGGCTCCGCGGGCCACAAAATTATTTCGGCATTGGTCACGGGCCACAATATTACCAAGAATAGGTAAACAGTGCAATACAAAACAAGCACTTCTATTGTGTGAACACATAGTTATCAGGCATTGCCAACCTAGTCTAATGGAATCCGCATCTGATGTTTAGTTTTCTATCATGACCGAAACGATAGAAATCCATGTAACAATTTAGACTGCTCATCACATCTTCAACTTCTCTGGTTGCTTCAGCTAGCCATCATACTAGTCAATTCAGTCACAGTAGTGATATAACAACAAGATGTCAAACAATTTTTCTGATTTATTTTATGCGAAGCAATTTGAAATACAAAGTTTTGATTACTCTCCGAATGCGGCGCGGGCTACAGATAATGGAGCGATGGGCCATATGTGCCCCGCGGGCCTGGGTTTGGACCAACCTGATATCTATATCCATCCCAATATCCTACGGAAAAGGGCCTTCAAATGTCAATATATACAGAACCAGAATATCCATCTATTTTAACATCTTTTAAAATTCAATAAATAATTACCGTGAGTAATGCAGGTGAAATGAAAAGCCAGCAAAATGGAAAAAAATATGGAGGTCGCCATTTTGATAAAAAGCTGATTTCTTTTGCAAGTCTGCTTGCTCCATAGCACCAGCAAATGGCCATAACTTCAAACGAAGCAACATACATTAACGACACAACTGCACTGTAGTGGTCCATCAATATGAAGAAATACATGCCACCCTGTAAAGAAAAATAACCATCAGTGGAAAAGTCATGAAAGTATGATGCAATAGGATTTACAGATTGATTCATGGGGTGAGGAAAGTCGATAAGACGACTTAATCATAGGGCGAACCACGGCCTCTCGTCCGGTTAGCCAGTTGTTGTCGGAAGCAAGGACTTGATTTGGTGGAAGAAACCATAACTGACCTCGATGACCAGCAGTTACGTGAACCACCCTACGGCGACGATGAGACCAGCAATCCTCTCAATCTTCAAATAAAAGAGTGGCGCCCCAGAAAAGCGAGGTACTGAAACATATGGGCAAGGGGTATATTCACTTAGCTAACACAGACAGTCCTCGAACTCGTAATAGAACTTAAATGAGGAAAATTGGAATAAAATTATGGTCGAACCCTAACCTGGTACAAACACTATGGGAGTACCGAAAGTGTTGCTAGAAAACTGTTACTTTTATTTGTTATAAATATTTTCAGAGTTCTACGGAACCCAATATTTCCCACCAAAGTTTGCTTTTTACGCAATTCATTCACATATCTGGTACCCTTCTTTGTATGATGTCAGTCAGATCAGTATTTATTCTTTCACATACCGAAAGTACATATTTTACAAACATAACTAAGAAAAATAAAAAAATACATTTGAGTGAGAAGGTAGACGTGATAAGCCAGTGATGGTTATCGAGCAGTGTCACTGTCACCTATGAGGGAGTCTAACATTAAATTAAACTGAAGAAAAATTCGAACATAGAATACTAACAAAAGCCAGACTTTGGGATACATTTAGGCGACCCTGTATCCCGGTGTCACTCTTGCCAATGAAAGAAGAGTACTCCAGACACAACAGGCGAAGTAACCACGGCAATCACAGTTCATTGAATAACAAATGGAAGAAGAGTTATTCCCTAGCTGCGTTACGGACATTTAAAAATTGGGTGAAGTTTTGCTGATATTGCACGACACAAAGTCCTAACATAGAAACGTATGATTTTTTTATAAAATTTTCGACCATGAGTGCGCCATGTTAGTTATGTGCAAGAAGATTGCAAGACTCGCCGTCAGCTATATGAAACCGTCAGCCAGCTACCCATCAAAGTTTGTTTAAGTGGTACAATTAGTACTAACATGCTCATGTTGAGTAAAACTAAATTTTATAAAATAAATTATTGTTACCTGCGCAACATTTGGAAGTCCAAGCAAAAAACAAACAAGACAGACGATCAAAGCTACGATCTCTTTTCTGACGAATCGAGAGTTTTTGAATCTTTTATTAAGTTCATCCATAATGCTTGTGTTGATGACTTCTACCATTGCAAACTAAAAAATGTTTTAAATAACAGTTTTGAATTTTTTTTAATTCCTGATCGACTGATCTGATTCCTGCATATAGTAATGCACTTTGGGCCAAGGTGGTGAGGTTGTCCAAAGGTATTATGAATTCACAGTTTTTTATTGTGACAGCAATATTTTGTGATACAAAATATTTCTTTTTGTGAATTTCCACCTCCACTAATGTTGTAAATATGATGACTAAGCGATCTACCTAGCTTTTCTCTCTCCAAACTAAACAAAAAAAAATCACAACTATACCTGACTATCAATTCCAAGACAAATCAACATCAAAAAGAAAAGAACAGCCCACAAATTTGATAATGGTAGAAGAGAGAACAATGTTGGAATAACAACGAACACAAGTTCTTGTCCACCTGAAACAACTTCATGTATTCCTACCCCCATCATCTCAGCCATTCCTCCAAGAGCAGAAAAAACAACAAAACCTAAAAAGAAAACATCATTTAAATCTAGACCAGAGATGTGCGACATACTCGGCGCTCCAGAAGTATGTGTACCAATATGGAGGTAACTAATTTTGTTCGCCTACTTTACATCAAGTTGTATAAAGGAACGGGAACCTATAGCAGGGGGGATATTCACTTGGTTAACACAGACAGTCCCCAAACTCTAAAAGAACTAAAATAAGGAAAATCGCAATAAAATTATGACCTAACGCTAACCTGGTACACACACTATAGGAGTACCACTTTTTTGTTGGTGGGCCATATAACCAACTTCAGACTAGAGGTGTACCGATACCACTTTTTTCGCCGATACCAGCTAAAAACGTTGATACCGATACGTCGATACTACAAAAATTCCGTTATTACCGATATTCCGATGCCGATACTATGTTTTCAATTATGTATTCAATTAGAAAACTCATAAGCCGTGATTTCCAATTCGAAGTTAATGTTAATATAGTGACCTTCGAATATCGTTATTCGTGTTTAAAAGAATATCGAATATCGCCCACACATTGTAGCGCCGTCGTCCTACGTTCAAATTAAAAAACATTTTATAAATATTTTATTTTGTGGTTGATCATAATCGTCGCCGCAATAAATCAATACCGATACATAACCGATACCCAAAAAATGGCCGATATTGCCGATACCGATACATCGTTACATCTCTACTTCAGACATCGACCTGAGCCACACAAAAATGCGGAATACGGCTATCGCTTAGCATTACAGTAATAAAGACACTGGGCAAAACGAAGGCGATGAAAAAAAACATTAGGTATTTATACCCATGTGAGCGTCTTTTGAAACATAAACTGTTGGATTAATTAAGAGTTTATGCACGGTGGGGAAAAATCTGGGTGCTCCTGAAGTATGTGCACCAAGATGTCGCATAATCTGAACCCTAACCTGGTACACAACCTGAGTTCAGTTTGTGCGCATACTTCAGGAGGTCCAAAATCTGTTGACAAGGGCTGACGACTGCTGACAAGGGCCACAATAAATGGCTGACAGGCTGGATTCAGTTGCGTATCTACATAAAATTGCACCCATGGCAAAATTTAAAAATGACCCCCCCCCCCCCCCCTTGATAGTTAGTTCACAATTTATAATAACTGTCATGGGAATGAGTTAATTCTACGTTATTATTTGAGTAAAACTACGAGTTTCAGCTATTAACAATTCAAAATTATTTTATTGAAACATTAAACGATAAAAACTTTTCGGTGCTCCCGAAGTATGAAAACCAAGATGGCGGACATCGGAACGTAACATGGGTAACAGGTTAGGGTTAGGCGATAATTTTTTTCCAATTTTCCTTATTTTAGTCCTATTATCAGTTCGAAGACTAGTCAAGAGCCTCCCGTAGTATTTATACCTAAAATTATGGCCTAACCCTAACCTAGTACACATATTACATTCCGATATCCGCCATCTTTTTGTGGCCCTGTCCTAACGGCACCCATTGAATGAGCCATGGCTGCCACACCTTGGCTGGAATATAGATCGCTTCACACATGTTTGATGTTTTTTTCTTTATATAGTTTGAACAAATAGTGGAAAAATAAATTACAGATTACTGTTAAATATTAGATAAACCCAAAAAAAAAACTTTTACCTGCGAGTAACGAAGTCAAACTGTTGACGATGGCAATAATAAGAGTATCATGTAAAATATTATTATCTCTTCGATTGTAACTTGAAAATGCAATTAAGGAACCAAATCCTATTCCAATGGAGTTGAAGACCTGTGCTGCAGCAAGTAGCCATATCTATAACAAAAAAAAATATTTGAAGTTGAATCAGGGAAGTAATTTTTAATATTAATATACCGTAAGTTTTTATTATTCGATCATTTTAGTTGTCATCCAAATCTTTGCTCAGAATTCAATTTCCTTTATTTCTGAGCGAGTGGATGCGAGCTTGCTGTGAGCAAATTTTCTTCAAACATATGATTAAGTAAGAGATTGTAAACTTTTCAAACTTATAAAATGCTTCCCACACTTATGACGTATTTGAAGCAAAATTTGACATCATTAGCAATAATTACGACATGCTCGGAGATGTGGCGCATCATACTGAGAGTTAGGAATACGCTCGTCACCGCACCTCTGATTACCCTGTTTGCAGGTTCGATGATTATTATGAAATTTATATTATTTAAATATGAAATTCTATTCTCAATTAACTGACTTACCCTAGGATTTCCCAGATCAGGCCAGTGTGGAATCATAAAATATCGTATTCCGTTCTCGGCGCCTGGCAATGTTACGCTTCTTATGAGGAGAACAAACAGGATGACATATGGAAATGTAGCAGTGAAAAGAACCACCTGTTAAGCAGAATTGTTTTTTTTTAATATTTTTCAATAAAAAATTGGTAATCCTGAAGTATGTGAACCTAGATGGCGGACACCGGAACACGTAGTATGTGTAGCAGGTTAGGATTAGACGATAATTTTATTGCAATTTTCCAAGAATTTTCCAGAAGTTTTTTTTTAAATATTTTTCAATAAAAAATTGGTAATCCTGACGTATGTGAACCTAGATGGCGGACACCGGAACGTAGTACGTGTACCAGGTTAAGATTGGGCGATAATTTTACTCCAATTTTCCTTATTCTAATTCTATTACGAGTTCGAGGACTGGCAAAGTGACACTCGAAGTATTTGTACCTGAAATTATGACCTAACCCATTTACCCATTTACTGTGACTACCCATGCAAACCCAGAACTTTTTACCCCACTACTTGGTTTTAATAATACACCCACCTTTCCAGCAATTCTTACTCCTTTACACAGGCAGAAGTAACAGATGGCCCAAGCTAGGAACAGAAATCCGACTAGACCTCCTTGCATATGTCCCATGTCTTCGATGCCATTGGAAATTTCCAAGACATTATAACTGAAAAATAGTTGATTCAGTCAGTCAGAAGTTTAATTTTTTCAAATGACGAAAGTGCACATTGTACAAACATAATTAAAAAAGGAAAAAAAATTTTAGTGTCAAGGGGGATGCGATAAACCAGTGATGGTACGTAAACCACCCTACGGCGGAAAGTCCAGCAATCCTCTCGCACATAATTAACCCTTGCAGGATTGGAAACTGCGAACACACGCATGGTAATCAGAGATGCGAGCGTATTCCCAATGCTTAGCACGATTCGCCACACCGACGTTCAGCGTTGAATTTATAAATTGATGACAGCCAATCTGTTAATTGTCCCAAACACCTGAAACGGACTAGCAGCGGAATCTATAAATATGGAGAATAAAATGTTATACTCACTTGAAATATTCGTAGGATGGTGACGTGTGCTTCACAAGATATTCAGGATTATAATAATCTAATTCTGAGTCGGTCAAATTTCTATCACCATTTGATATTGTTGATGTAAAATTTTGCACCTCATCTCCTGAGGCAAAAATAAAAGTTCGATTTAACTTCAACAGAAATGGAAAGGCTTGCTAATATATTAAAGTTTTGGTGCTCGAGAAGTATGTGTACCAATATGGAGGTAACTAATTTTGTTCGCCTACTTTACATCAAGTTGTGTAAAGGGACTGAAGCCTACGGACAGGAGGTATATTCACTTGGCTAACCCAGACAGTCCCGAACTCGTAATAGAACCAAAATAAGGAAAATGGGAAAAAAAATTATGGTCCAACCCTAACCTGATACACAAAATACGGAAGTACCAACTAAAATTGTACCTGTTAAGCAGAAAATTGTGTTCCACGTATTATTGCAACCAGTCCATGGTAATGGGTTGAAGAATGAATGAAAGAAATAATGCAGAGACCAAGCAATGATCACATTGTAGTAAGTACAGAGCAGAAAACTCAGCATCACCATTGCAATTCCTGTACCTGTGGCAAAAATAGATAAGGTTTTTATTGTTATCAAAAGGAGATAAAAAGCACGGTAGCGTCTGGTTACCGGTACAAGTAGAGGCGTAATTATATTATAAAGTTCGCCTCCTGAATAATGACTAACCATCTATATTCATGTTTATGTTTGTTGTGATTTGTTTTCTTTCCTCCTTGATCGTTAGTTGGCAATTTTTTTAAACAATGGTGGTGGAAATGAGATCCTTTTACGTTATTGAGTAAAAATAGTACTTTCAATCATTTTGAGTTTGAAAAAATTTTATTGAAATATTTTACTAATAAAACTTTTCGCTCTTTTTGCACCCCTGTCCAAACGTGCCCATGGCACGAGCCCTGGCTGCCACAGGATAGATACACCACTGGGTGAAAGTTAGTAACAATAAGTATTCAAAATGGTCATTCCAGAAACCTAACTATGTCTCATCGCTGATAAACGAATGACTTTCAAATCAAAAAATCATGCGTTAAAGAACGAACAGTATACATCTGCAGGGTCATATGTTGTGACTGTATAACTTGTTGCCAGATTTTAGGAAACAAATCACCGCATACATCAACGAGGAACTTCTAACCTTGTATACATCTCTAATACATTGTTTCACTTTATAAATCTAATTTTACCTTTCAGTATAGGACATAGTTTAGCAATAGCATGAACAGGTCCTCTTCGTGTTAATTGTCCAACAGCCATCTCCATGTAGAGAAGTGGAATTCCACACAGTATCAGCATGATAAAATATGGGAAGAGAAAAGCACCTGTGAAATTGAAAATGGATAATTAATATTTGTGTTTATTTTGGAGAAAAGCAGTTTTATCTTATTTAGTGGGTAAGGTGTAATATTCATCCCAGATTAGATGATGGCCCAGTAATTAAAACGTTGGACTCAACTGTTTTTATCTCGGTTCAAATTCAATGCCATCTTCCCTCACCCAGGGTGTGATCAAAAAAAGGAGAAAATGATGGAACAGAAAGTCTGCTGGCTTTACAAAAGGGCCATGATGAGAGAAAATGTGTGAAAAAGTGTTATATAAAAAAGAAGCGAGGAAAATGTAATAAGATGGCTTTATCATATATGGTTGACCATGGCCTCTTGTCTAGTTACCAGCCTTATTCAGGGATGGGGAAATTTGGCTAAAGGATTTTCACATGACTTCAGGGAAAGGAAAGTTTTTATTACAGTTTATGGCGAATGAGATTATGCAATTCAAAAGTCCTGCACTATGACACGAATGTATTCTTGTAACGTTTCGTCTGACCAAAAGCAGACTTCCTCAGACAAGTAGTTTACAACAATCCATTGTGTTAGTGTGCAACAGGACTCGTGAATTGCATAGTATGGTCATGTTTATTCTGGCTACAGCATTCTTCCATTATACGCATACGGTTCCACTAGCGCGAAGACATTGAGGAAGGACTGGGAGGCAGTCCCGCGTAACTTCTAGTGGTAGTTAGATTGCGGATATAATATTTGTCCCAGAGATAAAAAGGCTGATAGGATGACCCAACCAAGTGGTGAACTATGACCTGTGGGTCAGTTACCAGCCCCATATAAGCATGAGAGAATTTAGTTTGAAGGATTTGTTTCATGTTCATTCTGAGAGAGAGAGAGGAGAGTTGAAAGCTCAGAGTGGACATCTCAGGGTGGGAAGGTGATAAAAGGTTTTAATCGTATGTAAAACTATGGCCTCTCATCTGGTGACCGGTCACATTGATAAAGTGCAAAGACGAATTCATTTTATATTACACAATCTCAATTGTCAGTAATCATTGTCATCTGTACCAAAACTGGGCCCCTACTAGTTAGGGCCATCGAGGGTTACACTTTCACAGACCTATTTGATTCTGCAAAGTAGGAATTTGTCACATTAGTAATTTACAACAGGGCTCATTGTAAAACATAAAATGATTTTCTCTAACTGTTCAAATTGTTTGCCTGATGATAAAGTAATAACTTGTTTATGAAACATGATACCCCTTCATCTGATATACAAATGCTATAGATGATATCTTGCATTTTGCCCTCCAGCAAAATAAAATTTAACATAATATCATGCTTGATAGGAATACTTCATTCCGTCAAGACATTTGGATCACCTTTTTATTAAAGTTGGTGTGCAGCTAAGGCCATACCGATAGGCACACTTAATGAGGAAAAGAAGCTGAACATAGCACTGTATTGGAATAGGTAACCTGGATAGCTAGTTAACCAAGATACTCTGTATATTTTGTCCAAATCAAATCAGATGATTGTATGTAAATGAATTACAAAACATTTCATATACATTGAAAAATTCAGCGAATAATTTATGACCAATATGTAAATTTTATCACAAAGAATAGCATCATCATTTTTACAAGTCTTCTTTGGGGTAGGATCAAAGTCAAATGGCTCTATGTACCTGAATTGATTAATTGGATACAAAGTTTGACTGAACATCAGGAAGAGACCAAAGTAATTACAGTGAAACCAAACGAGGTTATGTCATAATTCAAGGTTTTGAGAAAATCTTAATTTGTAATTTCCTGATTTTAATGAACAATCAAAAAATGGACATAAGGCATAAAATAAAACCTGAACAGGCAAAGTCTGAAACTCAGATGGCAAACCAAAAGATGGCATAATGGCATAAGATCGAAGGAAGTCGTTCCTGAAAAATGTGGCAGGCTCTAGTGAGCAAATTATGATTAAGTCAGCTTTCGACTTTCCTTCTCCAGGGATGAAGCATGAAAAATTGTATTTTATTCAATATCCATTAGCATAGCCCATTACTGCCTTGATATCAAATGTTCGTTTGTATGTGATGGGTTGGGTTTTTTTGCTGCGGATTTTTGGACACGTTTAGTGGACATAACGATCGTTTCAATATTATGTGGCTATTGTTATTATTTGTCTCCATCATTTTTAAAAAATCGCTTTTCTCTTCGAATACTGGACCAATTGCTTAAAATTTTCAGTGGTTAAAGATAAAATTTTTCTCCAGAAGGCTATTACTTTTTTTTTCGCTATGACGTCATCAAAATTATTGCCATTGGGTGGCGCTACGTGTCCATATATTTGAGCATAGCTCTCTTGTTTTTAATAATATAATGTTTGACTTTTTTTTTAACTTGATTACTGTTAAGGCTTAAGTACGAGTGTTGCTACTTGATAACCAGTATTGGTTTTTGCACGCCCCTTCACCCTGAGATATCATTTTCACGTTTGTTTTTTATATTGTTTGTACAAAGTGTATTTACATGATGGTAAAAAAATAAAATACTGATTACTGATCGTTCGTTTCACAATATTCATTTTCACGTTATCGAGTGCTCTTCATAACACAACTGAGTGGTTAATAAGGACCTTATTGTTTACATTTTAATGTACTTATTATTGAGGGATGACCAAATTGGAAAAATCAACCTATGATTATTTGTTGTGTTCAGAAAATTATTTTGAAAACAAAAATTTTTTGAAATAGGAATTTTTTTGAGGCACTCCGGAAATATTCGTATCAAGATGATGCACAACCTGAACAACACCAACCTGGTACAAATACTATGTTCAGGTTGTGCGCCATCTTGGTACGCCATCTTGACAATATTTTAAGAATTCAACACAAAATAAAAAGACATTTATCCTGTTTCTTGCAACAATTTGCTGTTGGCAAGAAGTTTTGTCTAAATATATTTTTTGAATTCACACAAAAAGCGACGCTCCTGAAGTGTGTGTATCAATATGGATTATGGAGGGAACTAATTTTGTTCTCCTTGAAACCTATGGACAGCGGGTATATTTACTCGACTCACAAAGACAGTCCCCGAACTTGTAATAGAACTAAAATAAGGAAAATCAGAATAAAATTATAGCCTAACCCTAACCTGGTACACACACTATGGGATTACCCAAGAAGCTATCCCACTGTTTATTCGTGATTTGGTGGGGCATTTTAGTAAATTTCTCCAGTTATATCATGCTTGAACATACAGAGCTGTAGAATCAGAATCATGTTTTATTAATTTCTAATATCCGTATTTTCGAATTTCCCGTTTTTCAATAGGCTCGCATTTCAAAGTTAAGTATAAATTGTCTCAACTTCACAACCCTATAAAAGAGGCGCTCCGGAAGTATTCGTACCAAGATGACGCACAACCTGAACCCTAACCTGGTACAATACTATGTTCAGGTTGTGCGCCATCTTGGAGCACATATTTTGGGAGCACCAAAAAAAAAGACCTTACCTCCTCCACTGGTATAGCACAAATACGGGAATCTCCATATGTTTCCAAGTCCAACGGCATATCCAATGCATGCGAATAGAAACTCAACTTTAGATCCCCATCGTCCACGTAAGTTCTGCTGTGTCTGCATTTTCCTTATTTTATTATTAATATTAAGTATCACAACCTGTTGGGTAAAATAATTTGAAAATAACAATATGAAAGCTGGGTTTTTTAAGTTTCAATCAGAGCTAATGATTAACCAGTGGTTCTAAAACTTTTTAAGCCACGCCCCCTTTTTGTTTGTCAAGTCTCGCGCCCTCTCAAAAACAACTAGCTAACAATAAGCTACAAATAACAGATATTAAGGCAAAAGTATGTTTTATTCCAAAAAACATTGTGAAAATAGTGGGGCGCTCCACCATTCGAGAACGGTACCATTACATTTGAACCCATGACAATTGTACCTGTATGCTATTGCACCTATGGAATTTTTTTTGTTTCACGGATAGTTAAACCCATACTAACCCTAACCCATGGGTTTTAGCACCTGCATATAGATTGAACCCGTGGATATACGCATGGGTTCAAATGTACATGGATTCAAATGTACGGTCACCTTCGAGAACTACTGGCTTGAGTTTCACTCAAAATCCGGAAGCGGCTCTATTTCACAATTTATCTATGACCTGTCCACCTATCAACTGCCAATAATAATCAAGGTAATAATCGTAACGTGCATACAGAACAAAATTGATGGCCGCATCGCACTAATAAATTTGTTATGTTTGTTCTGAACACACCTCAATAGACAGAAATTAAAAATGAGGAATTTTGGAGAGCGAGCAAAACCTTTAAAACATGATGAGTATCATGTGCCCGCTCATCAACACACATTTACAAAAAAAAATCTTGTTAAAAAGCTTGGGCCAGAAATAAACACACAAAAAATACGCGAATGTATTTACTTTCAGGCTGTTGTACTTTTAAAATACTCTACAAGTGAATACAAATTAAATCTGATGCAAAGACAACGGGCGTAAGTGTAATGTAATAAGGTGACGAAGAAGGGTCAAACTCAAAAGCCATAAAAAACTACAATTTGATGAGTAATGACGAACAGTTAAGATTCCGAAAATAGCATTCCCGCCGTCCCGACAAGTCAGCAAAAACGTTTGGCGTTCCATCCAGCATAATACACGAACATGTTCTCGTTACTGTTGTTGCTGTGTAGCGCAACGCTAGCGTACTTACTGAAGGTGAATGCGTTATTCTGTTTGTTTCGTTGTTTCCCGCTAACATTGTTAGAGAACGTATCACATGCAAAATCAATTCTATGCTAAAATGTTGGGATGGAAGTTCTCAACAATAAAACCATATGTGCAAAAGTTGCAATTTCAATTGGTTCTTCTGTCGTTAACGTAGAATACGATTCGTTGCGTTCAAATTGTAAATCAAATAGTAAATTTTAATTAGTCCTGTTCGGACGTTCACGTGAATGTAACATTTAACAACGTTTTTTTTAAGGTGTTATCTAAAGAAGAGCATGCTTGGGCGAATAAGTAAATTCTCAATACTTGAAAACGGCAGACTATTTCATTATTCTTTATTCCTTTTGCTGTATTTGGAAAAATCGAAATTTGGATCATTTGTATCGTTAGCGTTTATTCCTTTCTATTTTTCGAACTGAACCCGATATTTAGACAGAGAATATGCGCATGAACTCTCGATGGTAACATGGTCAATAAAGACAGCCGGGATGGCTTTGAATGTAGGCCTATGCAGTAAAATCGGAAACTGTAAAGTTACAGGATCACACCTAAGGGGTCGTGTCTTTGGAGGCGTCCCGATTTGAAGTCAAAAAATATGGTAACCCCACTTCAGATATAAGTGGATGCTTATACAATGCCTCGCTCCGAGTGAAAAACGCATAAAAAAGCGTCGTATTAAAAAAAATACGAGACAAGGCTATAATTTCCAAAGATGCAATGATAGCGCACTTGGTAGCAAAACTTTCGTTTCCTCTGACGTGCATTGGAAAAATGAAACACCGCTCTGATAAGAATGTTTCATTTTAGGTAAACTTTAAACGCAATTTAGTTCCCACATCGGTAACGGTATGGTAAGTATTATTTTAGTTTTTTCCAATAAACACGATAAATAAAACGTCACACCGAGATAAATATTCCATTTTAAGTAAAGTTTTAAGTTGATAAATAGATACCACATATAATTAATCCCACATAGCGTGGGCGGTTGAAGTCGCTCCTTCGAATAAAACAATATCTATCCCTATTCCTAACCTGGTATATATATATATAACCAGCCATTATACGACGACTGCCGCCATCCAACTTTCTTCTAACTTACTGTGTCCAGGGTGTTAAAAAAGTAACGCTAAAGTAACATAAGTTTAATATGGAATGCTACGTAAAACATTTAACGAATAACATCTTTTAACAGTATCAAATTACGGTGAACTGCCATTCAAACATTTCACGACTGACGCTTTTTAACAGTTACTTTTTTAAGCTTGCCATGACAAAAATTTAACCTTTATTTTGCGTAACTTTTTTAACACTGTATATTTCAGTCCAATTGTTAATTCATATTTGATTGGCGACCATAATACACAACTCTATTCTTACGTTTGCAATCACGACCCATTTAGATTTAACTAATTGCCTACGAACATTATTTAGATCTTTTGTGAAATTTGCAAAAATGTGATATTTGATAAAAACAACCCCGCCACGTTTTAAATAACAAATTAGTAATTTTCCAGTTGAGGTTAGGAATGATTTTAAAAAATTGGTTTTCAAGCGCAACCTGCATTCCTAACCCTGTCTAGATAATTACTATTTTTATTTTTAACGTGGCGGGGACTTTGTACAAAAGATTCGCGCAAACTATAACCAAGTCATTGCTAACGTTCAAACCTTAAATATATTCTCGAAACATAAATACGCCTTATCGCCGAACCGGTTATATACAGTGAAATTTCCCGTCAAAAAATTTGCCTAACGCTTCTTCTCGCGACTAACACACGCCTACGTCTTGTCAAATCCCTGGGGCATATTGTTTGCATCTAAACAATAGTCACATGCACGTGATTATTTGAGTCATATTACATTATGATCTATATCTCAATCATAATATTATAAATAGGGTTAAAAATTTTGCCATGAACCAAACCAAGGCACTTTGAACTGGCGGTCCAGGGTCCCGTTTAGCAACCTATATCTACCCCTATTCCTAACATGATATATATATATATATATATGGGTGACCGTACATTTGAACCCATGTACATTTGAACCCATGCGTATATCCACGGGTTCAATCTATATGCGGGTGCTAAAACCCATGGGTTAGGGTTAGTATGGGTTTAACTATCCGTAAAACAAAAAAATTTTCATAGGTGCAATAGTATGCAGGTACAATTGTCATGGGTTCAAATGTACGTGGGTTCAAATGTAATGGAACCATATATATATGCCAGCCCGAGAGTAATTTACGGCAGAGATCAATGTGCGCCGACTGCTGTCGAATATCTACCCACTTTCTAACTTGATGTATATATTGCAGTCCAGTCGTATATATAGACATTAGTCACATGCACGTGATTATTTGAGCCATATTACATTCTGATCTATATCTCAACCATAGTCATAGTCATGTTTATTTTTTCCATTCAGTAAAAAAAAACATGCGAAATTGAGAAAAAATAAAACTAAGCACACATTTTAACTGGGGAAAGGAAGTCGCGGGGAACCAAGCCTAGTTATCGAGCAGCGACACCCAAGATTCAAAATCTAAATAAATTTCTAATATCAAAAATTAGTTTTAAAAATACTGTTATAACCATTGAATTAGAAATCAGGGTAAAATAATAACATGCGCAGCACAATATTTTGCTATTAACTTAACCAGGCCAAATGCGGCTTTCTATATGTCGTTGAAAATGATCAGTCAAACACATGACACATTTTTAAAAGTTACAAATGGTTTTTATCACAAATAACAAAATATCTACCATCCCCCTTAAATTTCGAAACACTCACCCTAAAATAAAAAGCGGGGAACATACTACCCCTCCATATCTGTAACCTGATGTAGGCTATTTATATATGCCAGCCCGAAAGAGGCCATTATGCAGCCACTGCCGCCATATATCTACCCCACTTTCTACTTGCTTTCTATATTGCAGTCCAATCGTTTTTAACAATTACAATTAACATCTACCATTTTCAAACTATTTGTCGACGAAGGTTCCATTACATTTGAACCCACGTACATTTGAACCCATGACAATTGCACCTGCATACTATTGCACCTATGGTATTTTTTTTGTTTCACGGATAGTTGAACCCATACTAACCCTAACCCATGGGTTTCAGCACCCGCATATTGATTGAACCCGCGGATATAGACATGGGTTCAAATGTACGTGGGTTCAAATGTACGGTCACCGTCGACGAATATTATTTTTCAAATCTATTTGCCACACAAACGTTCTTCTTTGGAATCTTCTGCTCGAAAATAAATAGAATAACTGGACGTGAACGTTGCTTTTCGCGCGGTAAACACCGTCTAAAATCCGTGTGTCGTATTGTTCTCGAGTAGGATCGAATTTCGTTTCCTGATTCACAGAAGAATCGGATATTTTCGCAGTATGGTTGCACTATAAAAATCCTGGTATTGAATTATAAAAACGTGTGCTATCCTGCTATATTACGTCAACGCTAATTTTCTTTTTGATTTTGTTTATCTTAAGTTAAATTAAGTTATTGCCTCAATTATCTCTGTCCATCCTACGTTGTTCAATAAATTTTCTGGCCCTCCGGAAGTGTGTGTACAAATATGGAGGTAATTAATTTTGTTCGCCTATTCTACATCACGTTGTCTAAAGCAGTGGTTCCCAAACTTTTTGTACCATCGCCCCCCTAAAGTAGTTTATACAACTTCATCGCCCCCCAGTACAACAAAAAAAAAATGTAAAGCCAGGAACGCATATATTACAGACCAAATAAGAAGACAACTCATAGTTTATAGTCTTTTTTAATGAGATGGATAAGCTTGGTGTTCGTCAGCGAGTTTATTATTATATCTAAAATTACCCCGTTTACTGATGGAAAGGCGATTTCGTTGTTTTGGTAGCAATAGTAGCACGACAGAAAATC